TTAGTATATTACTGTTAAAGTATCAATTACAAATTAAGTTATTTAAGTATCAGTTACGTATGAATAAGACAATAAGTAATATATATATATATATATATATATATAAGGAAGGATTTTGTGTGTTTGTGGCGTTGTGACACGATATCTCAGGACATATGCCAGCTAGAGCAAAGTGATGAATACTGTTACAACATTGAGGTCACGTGACTAGCATCACGCCACGTCATTCTCGAACCTTCGTGAATTGTCGGGAGATTACTAGATATAGTGTAGTCTTGTATATATAAGACTGGCCACGAAGCGACGGGGAGACAGTGAGTAATTGAACTGCAGTCAGAGAGTATTGTTGAAGTTGAGCACGTGAGACGTTCGTTGTTATAGCGTTTGTTATTGCGCGTCTGTTGAAATTAAGTGTATCGCAAAGTTATATTCAGAAAGAATAAACCAGTTTTATTTTAGAAAGGACCTGTGTCGCTAAAGTTTCGTTGGAACGAAGTTACGGAAAATTAACTAACGAACGGAGACGTAACAATACGTTAAATGCGTGTTTTGACCAGACCAAGAAAGTGACGTGCCGATTTTTTCGATCCGATGTCTGTCTGTCGTCCTGTAACAGATCTGCCTATTCAACCAATCACGGCGCAGTCACGTTATGGCGTCACGACGTCATCACTTGCCAGGTGCGGTCGGTTGAAGGTTTTAGGCTATAAAGCGTTTTAAAATGCTTTTGAGGACTATAGAGGAAGATAAAGCGCAAAAAAAGTCTGTTGCACTAAGGGTGGTGTCGAAGCGTGAAGACGGGGAAAAAACTATTCAGTGTGCTGACAGATCACGCGTGCTTGCTTATTTGAACATAAGTTGGCCTGAAAACTTCTAAATGCAAATATATATAAAATCCCCCTGGCAACGCCGGGTACCTCAGCTAGTAAGTAATAAGACCGATTCCTAAACTATTATATAGAATTTACTAAAGTGCCTGCTAACAATTAAAGTAACATTTCATCATCTCTGAAGAACAAAATGGATGCCGTGGATAGAATCTTTCCGTCAATAATAATGCCTCAAACACTGCAAATCTAGCAATGCACAAACAAAAATGAGAGAGCGGTTTCAGTTATGTATTCTTATCTTCACTGTTTGATGAGTGCATACAGTTCCCTTCTTGTGCAATAATTCACTTCCAACACGAATAATTTAGTGTATTCAACTATGCTCTTGTTTTGTGAAAGAATCAACACGTTGTCTAACATTCAGTTATAATTCTTATTTTATTAATAAACGAACGATCAACGTTGCATCGACCAATAACAATTTATTTGAAATCTGATGAATCTGAATAATCCACGTCAGTAGTATGCAGCCGTCAATGCGATAAAAACACAAAAGCCGAAAGCATAAGTACAAATATATTTTATTTTATAAATATTGATTTACAGCAACTAGTACTTCGGTTACCTAATATTTTTATACATGAGTACATTGGAATTATTCAAGTTCGAAAAAAGTAACAAGAGGCATTATTTTATTTTTTAAGGCAGATTTTTAGAGGGCGCATTGCGCACTTTCGCGCCCCCGTGGCTACGGCACTGCATAAACAGTAGTTTCTAATTAAGTTTATTTTTACTAAGCCTAAAGTAGTATATACAGTAACATAACAACTACCACTGTACCAACTCTCAATTTGTGTAAGGCTAGCAGATAACGTTTTCATAATAAATGTCATTTAATTTTCTGTTATTTATTAGGATAAACATACAACCTCCTTATTTTAATTAGATATAGTAGGGTATGTAGAAGAAATTCATAAAATAAAAATTAACGCGTAACTATAATCGTTAGTTGATAATTATCACACTAAGACTAGTAGTAGTACTAACCTAGTAATAATATTATTAGTACAAATATTTAATTGTCATTTGTTAATTTAAAAATACCTTACTTTCTATTCTCTTATTTTTCTTAGGTCACTATTTCTTAAGTAGCTTTAACTTGCAAAATTAGAAACTGTGTATTGTTACTCCAGTAAGTCTACTAAACTTATATTTGCTTTTGCACACAATATTGATTTTAACACTTGAAATGTCTCTATTTGTAAATTTTGTGTCTACATTTGGAGCTGGTTAAAAATGTAACTTATCTAATATATGTTAAAATTTGTGAGTACTTGACAGTTGTATTTTTAAAGTGCACTAAACAGCTACCATAAAATTGTGCATTGCTTTGTTATATGTAAATCTTTATCTGTAGGCTTAATCTCGTATATTTTCTTGTTTATAATTTCTTTTACATAATTGCAGTTTAAAGTGCTGCTAGTAATTTGGAGAAACTAAACCAGTAAATTGTAAAATGCATGTCATGACATATTCAGACTGCCATCAATGTTCATGGTGCAGCCCCCCTCCTTGTAGCTCAGTAGTAAGTCTGAGGGCTTATAACACTAAAAGTCAGATTTTGATATTTGTGATGGGTTTAGTTTTGAGCGTAATAACAAACCAACACGAAAACTGAATGTTGAGTACTCTATCCTTCATAGACACAAACATTCTACAAGCTATAGAAACAAGGGAAGAGAATATTCAAAAGATTCTAGTAATGCTTAATAACTTCATTTAGCCAAGCTGTAGGAAGGTCCAAAACATTTAATATAATACATACGAACAATATTGTTGGTTCATCTAGGCTGTCCCATCCACTAAACTACTTATATATTTATAAAAACAAAGCCAACCTCATGAAACTATTTATCAAGCCTTCCCTCAAAACCTCTCAAACTTACTGCTTCCACCACATATAAAGACAACCCATTCCAAATGACAGTTACCCTGATATAAAAGTAAAATTGTCCTAGCTTAATATAACTCTTACCATTCCAAAATTTAAAACTATTTTAGAGATCTCAACCTGCCCTTGTTTAAGGACTTTTCTATCTCAAGTTTCATTCAGTTCTAGTAGAACTTTTCTGAACCCTTTCCAACAAATTAGTATCTTCCTAAGGTAAGGACCCCAAGACTGAACACAGTACTCCACATCGGGCCAAACGAGTGACCTGTACATTTGAATTGTAACCTCTTCAGACTTGTATTAATTTTTCTGTAGATGCAGTATAAAACCCTGTTTGCCCTGCCATTAGTAACAGCACTGCTTGAATTGCTTGAGAATGTTCAACCAGAACATGAAGATCCTTTTCTTCCACAACACTGAGGGTTTTTCCTACTGAAATTATAGTTATAATTCAAGTAATAACACACGTGCATTACCTTGCATTTATTATAATTAAAATCAACCTGCCATTTATTTATCTAACTCATCCTATGATCTGAATTATTTTGAACATAAGCATTATCATAAATCAAAAAAGAGCAAATGTCCTATCACTGAGCCCTGAGGTTCCCCATTTGTAACATTAATCCAGTTTAACCCTATACATTCTTCCATAGAACCATCTTTCTATCAAATGAGCTAACTTATCCCCCATACCTTTCTTTTTAACAAGCCTTTTATGTGGAACATTTTCAAATATTTTCTGAAAATTCAGATACACCAAATCCTCACATACGTGAACAATAACATTTCTTAGAATTTCAAAAGATTAGTAAGGCATAATTTACCCCAGTGAAGCTATGATGGCTGTTTTAAATGTTGTTAAATGACTTTGGAAAGTGTCTTTTATCAGACTTTCAATAACATTTCCCATCAATGATGTAAGTTTAATGGACTTATAATTACCAGAACAATTTTATCACTTTACTTGAAAAGTAACTTCCAATCCTCTGGCACTTGCCCATTATTCAAGGAATTAGAAAAAAAAAGTAGTAAGTGGCTTACATATCAAATGTTTAATATCCTTCAAAACTCTTGGGGAGATTTCATCTGGCCCAGAGCCTTTTCAGTGTTTAAGTTTGGAGTTAAAGGGTATTTTGTATTAATATAATTTTCTCTTTGTTAAAGGAAATTGTGTATTTTTTGGTGAAAGGGCAGTTTAATAAGATAAATGACAAAGCTGGGAGGTCAGGGGAGAGAGTATAGGCCATGGTATTGTTAATGTTGTATCCATTATACAAATATTTTGTAGAACTCTTGCCTGTTAATTGGAATATTAAAATCTCATAAGACTGTAAAGAAAATTAAAAGTGTGAAATGCAGGAGTATTTTGGGATAATGCAGAGCTATGCTGAATCTCAAGATAATTTTATTCGTGACCCACTATTGAAATTTTAAATACAATGTCTTATGCAGTATTTCAGTTTTAAGGAATAAGTTGTTTTATATTTTTTGAAATATTAAGTGGTATTTTATAACTTCATTTACAAACTAGTAGTAACCTAATTAATACATTAATTTTTGTACATGCTGATCATTGTTTTATTCTGAACATTATACTTTTTAACCTTTTAATTAACTTGTAATATATTTCTCATCCTTGTTGATATTCGTGTGAATTCATCTGAAATGAAACAGCAAATTACCCTAAATTTTGGAAATGTATAATAAATATTGTGGTATTGCTACACCTGTATTGTTATAAGTACACTCTTTATCAATCATTTACAAAAAACAGTGGTTCAGATTCTGCATGTGTAGTACAGAATACTGGTATACAGCAAGAACTGCAGTGTATGTTATATAGTTAGAAAAAGGAAATAACAGTATGACTGAAAAAAAATATCTTTGTGGAGTTTACAGTTGTAATACACATTTGGAACTCAAATTATGAGCATGTTTCTATTTGAAAACAAAAAAATGGTGTGAAAAATGATTTGTTAAAAAGAGATTAATTAGTAATTTTTCTCTAATATTTGAGCTTCTCCAAATTTATTATGTTTACTTATTTAGTGTTAATGAACATATATTAGAAAAATACATTTAACTCACTGCTGATTTAAGTTTGAAATCATTATATAGATTTCTGGTATTAATATGAAAATAGTTTTTGGGGAAGTTTGTAATTTTTTGAACAGTTATATTTTTTCCATTTTTCAGTGAATGCTAATCTCCCACTATGTGTGCTATCATGGTCTTGTAAATGAAAAGAGTGAAAATGAAAAAAATGGTATTGAAATAGAAAGAGAAGACAGTTATATTAACAGCACCCCCATGTAATGAGATGACTAGGGTAAAGTTGTATCCGGTATTTACTTTTCTAACAGGTAGATTTTGAGGATTTAAAATTATGTAAAACAAAGGTTGATTTATATTTAATAGTTACTAAGAAGTTTGCAATTTCTTCATTAATTAGACTGACCAGATGAAAAATGAACCAATTTAAAATAGAATAAATAAATGATGTTGTGTTAGGAAACCTTAACCTAACTCTTATTTGTAAATGATTTAAATAAACTTGAAAAAATTGCAGTTAACTTGCTTACTATAGTTCACTCCATAACAGTTGGTCATGAAGTTGATGATACGAATAGCACCTAGACCATTACTACATTTGTTGTATCCCAGCCAGCCTGAGGAGGCCTGATATTGGGTGAAAGGTCTTGTTATGTGGTTGACATAGTAGAATATATTCTTCTTTGATTTCAGTCTTACATCATTAGAATTAATTTTTAACATATTTTCCTTAAAAATGAAGCAAATAAGGTAATTTTAATATGGATGACAAACACTGCATATGAACTGGTACCTGGATACTATTTCAGTCTTGAGTGTGAGGATTTTGATCAGCATGGTTAGCAGTTCAAAATAAAGGAGGGCTTTATCTAAACCTAGAGGTCTCTGATGTGTCTTCTATTGCATGTACTGCATATGGTGCTGTGCAGTTTAAAATATCAGATACTATAACCCCATTACAACTGGTGTGTACATTTCAAGAGTTAAGTGTAAAAAAGCCTGGCTGTTTTTTTGTTGTTGTTGATTTATGAAAAACATTGGGACCATTCTAACCCCCATGGACTCTTCCCCTATATCCACACTTGCTTATTTAACATTAAAGAGTATAGTCACCCAGTTATCATTTAGAAGCATGACACAGTGTAAAAAAAAACAGCATATTCACCCTTTCAATCAACAAGTTACTAGTTGAATGCTGTCTGATTGCTCTAGACCAAGAGGTCTCTGACCTGATCTTGCAGTTCCTGTGCTCCATGTGGTGCTGTGTATGTTGAAAATAGCAAATACTTTTACAACTAGTGTGTACTTTTCAGTAGTTGAGTGTAAACATGTTTTTTATTTATTAATTTCTGAAAAAGTTTTGGGAAACTGATCTTCTGAAACACTCCCCTAGATCCACATTTGCTTACTTAACAGTAAAAAATACACTTGTCTATATATATAAAATGCAAAAATCAGTGTGTCTGTCTGTTTATCCATTATCTATCTACTACTAGGTCGCTGGGCCAATCTCAACCAAACTTTGTGGGATTAGTTTGGAACGAGGGGCATGTTAATACAGGGTTCAAAACTCTCTCCACCCCCTGATTATTGCCGTTATTGAGCATTTATTATCATTGACATAAGTTAGTGTTAACTACATTCATAGATTGCACTGCATCCTTACACCAAAAAAAAACTTTATTAAATTTTCTATAAAGCAATGTACACACAGTGCACACAAACATCTTTTATATCTCAGAGAGCATGCTAGCACTTTCTGTGGATGAATGCAATGTAAAGAAATAGCCACAATTATTGCAGCTGAAGTTTCTACTCCAACAGCCACCATAAGGCTGATATGAAGAGCGATTTCATGAGTTATATGTACTTCCTATATTGAACCATGACCTTTCAATTTTGGCCAATTACCATCAATTAATTAATCATATGAAACACTATGGAAGAACATTAAGAGCTGTGTGTTGAAAGTGGGTAAAAGAAAGTACCCCTACTGCAACTACTTTAACCACTACCTCTTCCTACAAAGTCACCCTGACCATCACACAGTGTATACCATGTTTTAAGTATATATATATATACATGTATATATATATATATATATATATATGTATAGTGAGTTCTTAAAGCTTGTACGTAACTTTTGTTGAGGTAATAATGAATACTGTAATGATATGTTATGTTATAAATACATTGTATGAAGGTTAGGATTTTTGTGTTATTTATCATAGCATCCACCCCCACATTTTTTTAAGTTCATAGCATGAACAATGGACAGGTACCTCAGCTTGTGTAATTATAAATTAGAAGTGTAACACAGTGTAAAAAAAACAGTAAATTTATGGTAAATAAGTGACAATGACAGATAGCCTTAGTGTAGTTTTGCCATAACAAAGAAAACGTCAGCAAATTTGGTGGCAGTGGGAACTGAACCCAAGACCCTCGAATCATGACCCCACCACTACCATCAGGCCATAGTGGCCCAAAGTTGGAAAGAAAAAACAACCTAAAACACTAATATTAAGTTTCACTACCCTTGTTGAACAGTGCACAAATAGCCCATTATGTAACTTTGCACTTAACAACAAACAAATATAATGGCAATATTTTGATTATTTTGATGGATGGAGTAATCAATTATAGTAAAGCTCAGGAACCCTAATTGTGATTATTGTCATGGCAACCGATTTAATTTATTTGTTTATATGACATCATCAGTGTAATCACTGGTCATTAAGTAATTAATTGTGTTGATTAACGGATTAAATCATGCAGCATTGGTAGCAACATAAATTGTAACACATGGTAAGGCTTCAAAATTGTTTTAATACGATGCACCCAACCACTGTATTTTCTTTGGTAAAATAGTGTAAAGCTCTTATACGAGTGAACAGCTTGAAATATAATATTTGAAGGTAGTGCCAAAGACCTTTATTTTCTTTTTTATCTAGGAATATTGAAATACTGCTTTGTTGCATATGAAGGATATTATTGCTTGTTTTAAATGAACATTAACTGACATTTCAGACAAATTGATTTTTAATAACCTTAGATACAGATCATTCTAGAAGCTGTTTTTCAGACTTATGTGAATGTAAACTGGTTATACAGCTAATTTTTAACTGAGTATATTTGATAGTTGTGTCTTATTTTTTAAAGACTTCATTAGTTTTATGGAATATTAAGATTATAAAGGGTAATCTTTAGATTTCAATGATCTGAAAGAATACCAAAAATAATAATTAATAAATAAATCTAGATTTATTTCTTTTCTAATTTTAGGTACCAAGACATACATTTAACAAGTACAGTGAAAGCATGATGCAAGATGTAGAAGACTCTAGAGAAATTCTAGGACCTGAACATAACAGTTATAGTTATTTTGCAGAGAAATTTAACTACTGTGAACAAGATCAGTACAGAAATGATGAATGGGATAAAACATTTGAACATGATACAATCTTACATTGTCAACAATTCATCTGCTCAGAAGATAATCAAAACTGTTCAAATATTTATGTCGAAAAGTATTTGAAAAACCATCGTAGTATCCACACTGGAGAGGGACTATACAGTTGTAATGTGTATGATAAAAAATTTAAAAGTAGAAATGATTCAATACAACATCAGAGTATAAAGAGAGAGTACAGTTGTAAAAAACTTCAAACAGTAAGTAGCCTTAAATTACACCAGAGGATCCACATTGAAGGGAAATCATATACTTGTGATTGGTGTGGCAAACAGTTTTCAAAACAAGATACTCTAACTAAACATAAAACAATCCACACAGGAGAAAAGCCATACAGATGTGATGTTTGTGGCAAAGAGTACACATTAGTAGATAGCTTTAGAAAACATCAGAGTACACACAGTGTAGAGGGAAAGTACAATTGTGATGTGTGTGATAAAAAATTGAAAAGTAGACGTAACTTAAAGCTACATCAGAGGAAACATAATATAGAGGAAATGCACAGTTGTGATGTGTGTGGCAAAAAACTCCAAACAATAAGTAACCTTAAATTACATCAGAGAATCCACACTGGAGAGAAACCATACACTTGTGATTGGTGTGGTGAACAGTTTTCAAGAAGAGATAGACTATATGAGCATGAAATTAATCACACAGGAGAAAAAAATCATACAGTTGTTATGTTTGTGACAAAAAATTCACAAGATTAGATAGCTTTAGTAGGCATCAAAGAGCACACAATATAAAGGGAATGCACAGTTGTGATGTGTGTGGCAAAATTTGCAAAAGAAAAAGTAACCTTAAGTTACATCAGAGGATCCACACAGGAGAGAAACCATTCATTTGTGATCAGTGTGGCAAACAGTTTCCAAGAAAATATACCCTAAATGTACATTATAAAATGATCCACACAACAGAAAAACCATACAGTTGTGATGTTTGTGACAAAAAATTCAAAATATTATATAGCTTCAGAAAACACCAGTTAGCACACAATGTAGAGGGAAAATATAGTTGTGATGAGTGTGGTGAAAAATTCCAAAAAAAAGTTGAATTGAAAAACCATCATACCATCCATACTGGGAAGGAACCGTACAGTTGTATTCATTGTGGTGAAACGTTTTCAAGACAAGATACCCTAGATATACATGAAATGATCCACACAGGAGAAATACCTTACAAATGTGATGTTTGTGACAGAATATTCACGAGTGCAAATAACTTAAGAGAACATCAGTTGTTGCACAATATAGAAGAAAAGTACAGTTGTGATGTCTGTGGCAGAAAATACACAAGAGTAGATAGCTTTAGAATACATCAGAGTACACACAATATAGAGGGAAAGTATAGCTGTAATGAGTTTAGTGTAATATTCACAAGTGAAAGTAGCTTGAGAAAACATCAGAGCCTTCACACTAGTAATGACTTGTACATTTGTGAAGTTTGTGGTAAAGTATGTTATTTTGAAAACACTTTAAGGCGACATAAGTTAATTCACACAGACAAAAAACCCTGTATTGTTCATTTGTGATCTGTATGTGAGACATTTATGAGGGACACAGAATTTAAGAGATATAATGTCCATACTATAGAATATTTACATTGATATGTGTGAACAGTGGATGTATGCCAAAATCAACACTGAAAATTTCACAATATTATTTTTTCATTGGTATGAAAAATTTCATTCTTGTGTTCTTTTGCAGATAATCATAGAGGATTAATGCTGTTAGAAACAGCTGGTGTATTGGCTCATTTATGGCAGATTCTTAATAGATATGAAGTTAATTCATATTAGAAAACTCCATAAATATATCATATTAGTTCTTGATATGCAGGGTTGATGAATGATGAAGATCAGCTATGTAGTAAGAAAAACGAACATAGAAGTATTGAAACATAAAGTGAAAAATACAATTCTGTACATATGCAAGAAATGAAAGATATACCACTTTGAGGAGGATGTAATGAGGGATTATTGGCAGAGATACTGATGTACAGTATTTGAATAGGATAAATATCAAAATTATATTCAATAAAGAATATTGTACGGTTGTCTGCCATACTCACTAAATAGTAAACTTAAGTTATCTGATTTGACGACTAATTTAGTTGGTGATAATAATAAAACAAAATCATGTTTATAAAGCTTACAACTACAAAAAAATAAAAAAAAATAATTGAAAGTCCAGTCCATGAAACTATAACAAATTAGTTTATTTCTTCATTAATGTTTCTACAACTTGTAACTTGTAAGCCAGTGTTTACAAATGATATTGAAATGTAAATTCCACACTAACAGGAAAATAAAGGGACTTGTACAGTTTCACAGCTGATCAATCAAGTACTTGATTATGTATGATAACTAACACTGATCCAAATACTTCTTCACTAAAAATAAAACTGACTGTTTAACTCTACACTCTGGAAACAAGTGGCCCAGTACTTAACTGATCCTCATATTATTTATATCTGATTTTGAACTACTAGATATTTGACATTATTACATTTTTATGACATCAGATTTTGAAATTTCTTGGCCTACTAGTATATTCTAATAAGTAAGATTAAAATGTGTATATTGAAAGGAGAAGAAATTCACTAGGTTGTGAGAAGACATACATAGGATAGGAGCACTAGATGAATAGAAGAATTCTAACCTTACACATTGTGGCAACTGAGAGTCAACACAAAGGAGAGAACGAAATAATGAAATAATAATGAGGGATCTGGAAGCTTTAAAAGTGTAGTGGAGGCCAGTTTTTATTTGAATGTCTTGAAAGAATGCTGGAAAAAACTGTCCAATCAAACTTCTGGCCTTTTTAAGTCAAATCATGTAGTGGAGCAGCTATAGTTGCAAAGTCTTTCACAAACTCCGGTAATAGGTACAGAGTCCCAAGAAACTTCTTAACTCTTCCATATTGTCTGGTGTTGGCCAATCATGCACTGCTTTCACCTTGTCAGGATCAATTTGCACACCATGCTCAATTACAATGTGACCTAAGTAAAGCACCTCTTTCTGGAACAAGTGGCATTTCTTGGGATGGAGTTTGAGGTTTGCTGCTTTCAAACGCTTAAATACTTCCTCTAGCTGGGACATTTCCTCATCAAATGTTGTTGCAAACACAATGACATCATCAAGGTGCACTAGGACTATTCTCCATTGTAGGCCTTCCAGTACTGTTTCCATCAGCCTCTCAAATGTTGCTGGAGCATTGCTAAGCTGGTATGGCATCACACAGTATTGCCAGAGACATTGGCCATAACTAAATGCAGTCTTAGGTTTATCTGCTTTAACCATTTTCACTTAATGGAAACCCGACTTTAAGTCCAGAGTTGAAAACCACCTGGCTCCACTTAGGACATCAAGTGTATCATCAATTCTTGGCAGTGGGTATGAGTCCATTTTGGTTATTCTGTTAAGAGCTCTGAAGTCCACACAGCAACGTTAGGCCCCATCCTTCATCTGGACTAATTAGACTATCCATGACCTTCTCTATCTCTCGTTGCTTTGCTGGAGCTATTCTCCTTGGAGGGATCTTTACTGGACGGTGATTGTCTGTGTTTATTCTGTGTTCTACAAGGTTTGTGCAGCCGAGGTCATGATCTCCTTTCGAAAAGACGTCTGCATAATTTTCCAAAAGTTCTTTTACCTCAAGAGCCTGTGATGATGCCAAATGGACTATGCTCTTCTTATAGAGGTCAGTTAAATGTTCTGGAAGTGTATGTCCTTTCTTTATAGTTGTATTTCTTGCTTTAATATTGACTGGCTGTACCTCCTGGCACACACCCAATAATGCCCCTTCCTTATTTCCAGTGGTTGTCCCTTCAAGCTCGTTGCCAGATATACTGCTTTCTGCTCCTCTG